TTGAATTTATCTTATTCAAATTATTAAAATTGGTATTAAAATTAAATGTATGTAACCTAGAAACAGTTGGAGATCAAGTGGGATGTAAATTTAAATTAACTATATCTACTTCTCAGCTTCACCATTAGGTCTACATCATGAATCCCATACCCGCATGTTAATAACTGTGCTTAATTAAACTAATTTAAGTCAAGGTACGTTACTTGTATTTTAAGGTTCTTGGTATTCCTGCGCAGTCATCGTACAAACGTTAGTCACAGGCAATTGTATAGCACGTTATAAGAAATATGCGCTCTGGTGCTGTGAATCTTCCACGGCCCATGCCAGTTCCCTTAGGCGCTGTTATAACCCCATAAAAGCCAGGGTGAATGCCAGGAGGAGTCATTGCTCCTACCCATTATTGCAGTACGCGATGGTATCTTGTAACTAACCTGTCCCTTTTTGGTTGTTCTTGTCGGCATATTTTTTATCTGCTTATTTTTTACAGATTCACATGGTATACTTTTGAGGTGTGGCCAACACGATGTATGCATCATACACAAGGCTGACACCCAGTGGTGCCAATATACGAATCTTCGGGAACCCATACAAATAAAAAAACATAGAAAACACTACCAATAAGCATAATTATACAGAATCAATACGATTCACTACTAAATAAACAATCCTCCTAACTAATTTGGACCAACAAGTTGTGGTCTTGATATTTAGCATAAGTCTTTAATCATAACTTACAATAGACATAGTACAGTCAAACTTGCAGATTCAGAATTCTTCATTACAACATTGTCTAAACTACTGATTGCAGTAGCTGTCATATTTATCACGTTTGATACATGTTCATTATGTTAAATTTTAGCCACATCTTTAAAACTACCAATGTGTCTATGATATAAAATTACACAACCATTATGTGTCAATAAGACCTATTTTCAATATTTTTTCCACATCAACGTCTGTCATTAAAATTTGTAGGTCATTTTCTAAATAATTAAGTATCCTTCAAAGGCTATCTCCCTAAAGACAATTACCAATGATGGCTAAAGTATGTATCTCTGTAGTTACACTATGTTATCATTAGCAGGACAATATGCTGTGCAGTAATTATACCCACAAGATAAAATTGGGGTCAAGCTTAGCTTCAGCACTGTGTTTTGGGTTGCTTGTCGCGATCCGTTGTCTAAAGGTCCTGGGTGGTATGAAAGCTCTCGTTTCGCTTTGCCATGACGGTTTTTAAGCATTACAAAGTACTTGCGCCGCAGAGACGACAGGGGGTCAAAATAAAACTTACTAAACCCACGTTAAAGTGCAGACAGAGCAGCGTGACTGTATTTCTTATTTGGTAGTCACCAATGACCCTGACCTAGATACGTTAAAATCCTTTTCTGCTTAGTGGTCTCTTTACCATTTCCATGGAACGGTAGGTAGTAGCTGTAACAGCCCATGACCGTTTAGAATTCAATTTGAACGCACATTTATTATTCAGAAGTTACTAAAGACTATGACCTAGATACGTTACAAAAAAATCATACAGGCTTAGATATAAATTCTTCAAAGGGGTTCACTTTCGCAAAAGGTAAAATAACGGTGATTTGGCTAGCATGAGACATTTTGCTGTGGACCCTAGCTGCCCGCTAAAATGTCAACCGTAGATTAAGGTCAGGAACTGGGGTTGCCTTTACATGGCGAACAATTTGATTCCTTAACAGTTTTAGGCCGTTCGATGTCGACTGTTTTTTTATCAATCCGCATCGTTATCTGTCTCTATAATTTATTTCGTCAGTGATTTAAAAGATAAAAGAAAACATCAGCCATCATTTATCTTATCTCTCAAACCAGTCGTTCCACAAGGGTTAAGGTCAAGCCATTTAAACTCTAGGATTGGGTTTATTGAAATGTATGTTACAGACATAGCAGCACTTGTGCTTTATTTTACATTAGAGACACGGTCACAATTCTCAAGTTTTAACCCTTCTGCTCCAGCGAATCCTTTTCAATATGACTATAGGTTTTATCAGCCATTACTCTAGAAGCCATATGTGCATGAAGTAAGCATAATTAGTATAGATTTTTCCGAAACACCATGTACCTCAACAGCTTATCAAGACAATGTATTTCATGCTTTCAGAAAAATGATTATAACACAGAAATCTTCTTCGAAAACCAAATAAATGAAAGGAATTAGTTGTGTTGAATGCAAACCTCACCATATATATATTCACAACATTGAGGTTTCTCACCCAAACGGTTTGCAGCTAGATCATGGAATGTTGCCATGTATTATGTACGTCTTGGTCATAAAGATATAGCTTTGCCACAACCAAGCAAATAAAATATGCTATTCATTAATCTTAACACATGTAATCCATTCCACATCGGGTCATAACTGTAATTTCTATCATTATGGACGAGGATTGCCTTACAGTCGTTGTTACTAAAGCGCATCCTTGCTATTCTATTTAACAAATAGCATCGTATTTATACTATGACAAATAGCATACTATTTATCAAGTATAGCACGAACATACCTGCGTCCCTACTATGTCTCAGCCAGGGCTGCATAAAAGGTGGAACCACATTCACGAGTAAACCTGCACTGGGGAGGGTGCTGAGGTTCGTACAGTCATCACGTCAGTACTGTAAGCTATGGATGGTAAACTGCCAACCCGCAGTTCCATAGATTACAGGGGTTTGTAGTGTGACGATGTGCCGTCAATCACTGACAGCTGCAGTAACTGACAGCCTCATACATACACGAATCTGGTGGTCTCTGTGGTACACAGTTTTCTGCAGACGGCCGTTAATCATTTAGAGGTCTATTGATTAAGTGAGGTCAGAGCACAGACGGCGAGCCTGGGCCACACGGCGCCCAACTGTTATATTTACATATGGTATATTCTGAATTCTTATGCCAGTCTCGTGCTCATTTGTTTATCACACTGCTCTACATTTAGGAGATCTAAAAATCGCCATGATTGTTTTTCCTTCTACTGTTTGGTTAATGTTCAATGTTGTGCAAATGAGGTCATCAATAAATAAAAATATCACTTCGATGTCGATTCGGGGTATTTTTCTGCATCAATAATATACGTTTTTTTTAAATTCAACTGCAACATGATAACAACATCATTAATAACATAGATCTTGTGTATTGACGGCTGGAAATTTGAACTTATATATGGTTGTTTAATTTATTTCAAAGACATGAAGTTTTCGTCTACATTTCTTGATAATGGCACCAGCCTCGGCTACCACTATCATGTTATTTAGTTACAGTAACTTGACCTGGGACTCCGCCTACTGAACAAGCTCGGTATTACACCAAATGCACTCCACAAAATGTACCAGTATAGTGTTGTTGTTGTCATTTTAGGGCCTCTTTTATACTTTCTACACTACAAAATGCTTAGAATTGTCAAAAATGTACACTGGTACCAAAGGATACCAAGTAGTATACTATACGAAGACCTACCCACAGTCAGCGAAACAATAAGGAAACGAAGGTTTAAGTTCATCGGACACTGCTATAGAAGTGAGGATGAAATCATAAACCAGTTAATACTGTGGGAGCCCTCACATGGGAAAAGAAGTCGTGGTCGCCCAGCAAGAAACTACATAAATCAATTAATGGACGACACCCAGCTCGACAAGAAAAACCTGATGGTAGTAATGAAGGATAGGAAGAAATGGAGAGCTGTCATTGGCACCGAGGGAAGCTCGACCCAGTGAGTGAGTGTTTATACTGATGGTGCCCTGCGGAGATCAACTGAACTGCAGTCAGCTCACCCTTGCAGGCAGTTGCGTAATGCGGTGCATTTATACACGAACAGGGAAATAATCACAATCACAGAGTCTGACAGCCGATATATGTCTACACTATACAGCACGGTTTACTACTGGCTACCTCCCACATAAGACATTTTAGACAGGCTTCAAGAATTTTGTCCGTCATTAATGCTATGTTTTCAGCACAGTCACCCAAAACAATACAACCGGTAACCAAATGTAATAAATTTTACAACGGGCAGGGTCAAAGAAAAATTTGTCCCTACAATACCTCAAAGAATATTGTACTTTTAACGTATAGGGGAAACGTGTCAAATACCATTGATTCCATGGTTGTCTTTGATTGTCGGTGCACTTTTTCTATACTTTTCACAAAGACATTAGAGAACTTTTATAATTGCACAGGTTAAAGCCATTGTGAAGAAATATAAAGTATAGAAATTTAAAGTATTGTAAAGCAAGATGATAAGGGAAAAAAGGATTACAATCATATTCCCTACAGTGTCTTTGCACATCTCACCCAAATGAACTCTGAATGTTACGGTATCATTTATTGATTCTCTGTACCACAGTCAGTGCTGAACATAAATTGTCCTTCTTCAGTGAGGAGTGAAGGTCGATGGCAGCGATGTCAGTTAGTCTCCCTAGTCTCTATCAGACTAACACTGCGGTTTAGAAATACAGTAAAATTTCTAAACATAATTTGGTCAGTAATTTCCTTTTTTCCAAACTCTTATGATCCCTACCCCCCCATAGAAAGGCCTAGTGGAGGCTAAAAAGTCCCCCTATATAAGCCTTTTTATTGCACCTAGATTCGTAAAAGTTTTCACAATAGCTTTCACAATGTTTAATATCAATGTCATATTGCATGTAGTTTGGAGTATTCAGAAACTAGTATATAGTAGATCTAGAAATCTGTCAGATAAATTGCTTTATTCGTCTCTCTGAATAACATGGTAGCATCAAAACACGAGCCTTGTGAATTAGTTTATTGCATATAATCACTAATTGTTCAAGACATGAAGTGAGACATTTTGAAGTTTTTCGGAAGAACAAATTACACCAACAGCCCTTTTGAAAAAGATGGACGTTAATAAACACCGTTCATAGTTAAGAATGAGAATGTTTCATCTATGTAAGGAGCTATTTCTAACGTCTTAAGCTTGTGGTCATTATGAAACGTCTGCTATATGCCTGCTCGTTTTAAAAGAAACCTGTCTTGTCTATCTCCACCAGACTCATTTGCAGACCGAATAGCAGGTAAATTGGACCCTGTATTACCGGCTCATTCCCTTGGCCAGTTACATTCTCTTTAGGCCGGTTTCTACTATCTATTTAGCTGCAAAGGAGTCTGTTGGAGACTATCTATCTGTATGCTGTGCAGGTATAGCGCAGGCATACACATAAGCTCAAATAATCACGCACTGGCACATTCCCGCTGGTGTTTCCGGTGGATTCCTGGATAGATTCATGGATAACGCTCTTGCAGAGATGGTGACGATAGTTTTAAGCTTTATTAACGAACGCCCTTAGGTGCCGATGTTGAGTTGCTCAATCATATCAAGACAGAAATAGAACTTATCTCTAATGCCTATCTAGCCATGCTTTCCCGTAACAGTAGTTGTTGTAGGTATTCCGTCAGTAGTTTTTTCTACGAATGGCGAAATTTTTCTCTTGTGTAGATGATTTCTCAAGTACAGCATGTATCTCTTCTGACCCTGTTCTACATTAAATCTCCTACGTATAAGATTTAGAATTATTATAAAATTGCTTGCAGGTAGGACTGGTATTCTCGCTGTCGATACTCGGATAGATATCGACGTTTCCTACTGATAGAAGAGTGATGACGGTATTTAGTTTTGCTGTAGGCGATACTTTACAAGCGGCAGTCCTGTCATCCATGGCGCTACAAGGCACCGGATACATTATCTCAAACTTATCATTGCTTTTGTCACTGCACGAAAATGTAGATTTACCAATGTTAGTAAATACCTATGAAGTCGTTTTATGGTTACTTTGTACTTAGCATTGATACTGCATAAAAATCAGGGCCGTTAATTCAAAGATTACTATTGCTTTGTTTTAAATTATCCTACTTATATTTACAGGCATTTTACGGTGATTTCTGGTACCGTATTATAAGCAAAAATGATAAAAAATACCTGACTTTACTGATAGTTACTAACATGTTGTTAATCCGATTTTCGAGCAGTGTGTTGGGCTCAGTGTGACATGCTGCCAATTAATTCCAAAGGAGAGAAAAGGATTCAACCATCTCTGCCTTCGTGCAAGGCACGAGTTCCTAAACGATTCCACTTATACAGATTTCTTCTACTAGATATGTTTTATAATGTATCAACGCAGGCCATTGCCTTCATGATATGTACTTCCCACATTGCACATTACATCAGTTCAATTATTTCTAGGGGACTTTATCTCTGAATAGTGATCCGAATTTCTCCTAGTTCAGCCAACTGAAGACATTGGCTGAGTATGGCGTGGTCAGTCGGTTGCTGAGGCCGTTTGTTGTGGTCATTTACATCCTGACTCTGTAAACAAACAACAACAAAACCATTTAAAATGTCATATATATTTATATGTTACATTCCATACGAAATTTTGGTTTTGGTTGATGACGGTTCGAACTTGTGTGCTTTCAATTGTTTTGTTGAATGCAGTTTTAATTAAGTATGATGTAATGCTCGTAATTATTGTTTATTCTGGGATAAATTAACAACCTGGATATGAGAAAAATTCTATAATGAAATTTACCCAGGGATACGTATCTTTAATAAAAACAGTAAAATCTTAATACATTTTCATGTAGGCTTCTTTAAGATTTTTTGGTTGATGTGGTTGTTTGTGATTGATTGGATTGATTGAATAGACGAATCTGTAAACTCACCTTTAGGCTTTCAGGGTCGCTGCTAACCTTCTTGATGCGGAGTTTTTTATGCCAAGAGACTTCGCCGACAGCCACCAGGAGACCGATCACCAGGCCAGAGAACAAGAGATAGAAAACACCCTGTATAGTGATGGAAATGTCACGTTTTATGTAAGGCTGGAAGGTTGATTTAACTTTGTAAGATTTAAAATTTGATCAAGAGTTACGAAGATAAAATTAATGCTATAAAAAATGACAAGAAACACACTTGAAAATCCTGCAGAGTTAGACCACTGGCTTCCACGCTGCTATCAGACCCATCCAGTGAGCACCCAGCAGCCGGCCACCAGCGGTCTTTTAACGCGTTGATTCTTCCCATTTCTCTTAATTGTAAGATCCTGCTCGACAAGATACAGAAATATATCACGCGTAATATGCTTAAATAGAAAGGACTAGTGAGCTACAGGTGTTCTGGCAAAGTACGATGTACCAGGGTAGGAAATAAAACGTAGAATTTGTTACTAAAAACCTTGGCCTTGGAATTTACAATATAGTAACAGAAGAGTCATAATTCCCAGAAAGCACACGAAGTATAAATACTACAAATGCATAGTTTTATTTGACTTAATTTTCTTAAGAAATAGAATATAGTTTCAGCATCATGAAATATCGAGAGCTTCAACCTTGCGAAGAGTCTATGCGAGTATTGTATAGAATTCTTACCCAACTGATAGTTTCTTTGCCCACTGGCTACCATTCCTTGTCGCAATGCCGTAGCCTCCAAACAGGAAGGGAGCACCGACCATTGTCAATGCACAGTCTGGGTCTTTCATGGCCTAATATTGGGACAATGACGAACATTAGTATGTTTCTTACAGATTATTATGTATCTGTATTGTAGCTCAGTCGTCTTTAGCTTTGTAAAGGGTTTATTCTTTCCAAAGATTCCATTACAGTTACCATACATCTCTTTTTTTGTACATTTTTCGATTTTTTTGTAAACTTTTCTTCCGTTTAATATTTTCAAAAATGTATTTTAATATATGTTTATTTTTATTTTTCTTATCATTTCGTTGCCTGTTTTATTTAGTCTATGGCTTTAACTTATGCCCTCTTAATATCTTAAAACATTGTACCATGTACGATTGTCGAGCAATAAAGTTAATTCAAGTTATTATCATAAATGGTATTTCTTACCTCATACACAAAGTATGTCCCATCTACGATGAAGGCATATCCACCTTTTTTGGCCCGCTTCATCCCCTCCTCCAGCGAGCTGACAAAGCTATCTTCTGGTTTTGCTGTCATACCGTGCCAGAGTCTTTCGTAGCTAGAACTCGTTCCTTTCAAAATAAGGATAAGATGTAACAATGCTAAAATAACAATGTTATATGGGTTCTCTTTTGTGAATTTTTAATGCCTATAAACGAGCTATACATAGCTACTGCAAGCTTACATTCAGCACAAAATATTTCATACACAAAATAATTGATAGTCACAACAGTTGCTTAAATCAGGATGAGTCTGTCTGAGTTATTGAATTATGTAAATTATTCTCCAGCTCATCAGGGCACACCAACATACCCCGAACGGGGACTGAGGCGGTATGACTTCCGTCGAACTATGACCAAGTCCTGACTTCAAACTGTCGAAAATATCCCGTGCTTGTGTTATATAGCTGATGAAGACCAAAGGATTCGGTGGAAAATTCCTTTGTGTTTATTTATTTTTTTTACTTGTAGAACAGTTTCAATTCTAATCATGCTGCTTACAATGATCTCACCGAACATCGCCAGACTATCACAACAAGTTGGAACGCACCTACTTGGCTCTGGAAGAAATCGTACAGCGACCCGTGGTTGACGATGCCGTACTTTACTTTGGTTTGCGAGGCGAGGTCATCCAGAGACGTGACGGGGTGTTTGAGGCGTTTGACGGTGAGGAAGGCCGTGAGGTTGGCGGTGTAAGTGGACACGACAATCAGCACGAACAGCCACCAGAACCCGGCCATGATCCGCGTGGACAGAGACCGAGGTGGTGGCTCCCCTCCTAGAAAATCATGATTTTTTTTGGATTAATATTTTTTTTATTCCAACATGTAATCACCAGACGTGGTGGGGACACACTCAAGTTTTTTCAACTTATATTAATGCCGCCACCAACACATGGGACAAATACACGACAGGACAATACTCATTTACATGCACCTGAGCTAAGTGAGGAAAGTCGTGTAAAGTGCCTTTCCCAAGGGCACAGGATCGGTGGCATGTCAGGACTCGAACCCGGGACTCTTAGTTCCGAGTCGCGCACTCTGCCGCTACGCCACACGACCCCACTTTTGGATTAATTATTTATGGTAGCGATAAGTAAAATGTGTACGCAAAACAATTAAACAATGATATTGAAATCCACCCATCCATCCATACATTCGGCATTCATCCATCCATAGGTCCCATAGTATTGAAATATAAACCCTATATACTAGCTATTCTCAAGCAGAGATTAGATAGTTTTCACGCATTAATACTAGACAGAATAATCTAGAGAAGCACCTTTTTCATTTTGTTATTGAAGACGATGATTTACAGCTAGCACTTATTGGGGATGCAACACTTGCTGTTTACATAGATGGTGATATAGCCTTTTAGGCGTCACATCATAAAATCCTCCACATGTCTTATGTTTTCACGAAAACCCATGATAAAACACTGCCCAGATGTCCATAACCTCCTACTTGCTGTTAGGAATCTGGTCATTTTTCATCTAGGTACACGTAAGTTAAAACATTTTATGGATTTTTAATTATGATTCATTCTACCTTTCCGCACCATGGACCAGTAGACGAACCAGAGGCTGTTTCTCAAGTTAAAGGCCCTGTCGTTATCGGCATGTCTGTCCCCGGCGTTCATCTTCAGCCGCAGTCTGCTGGTCAGGAACAGCAGGATCCCGACGGTGAACATGCTGACGGCAATACACAGCCATACCTGGAGAATATGGTGGAATATATTTTCATTGTATGTTCACCATCTAAGATCCTCCTAACATAAGTCCGCTAATTTTTAACCCATTTGATGTAAATGATGATTGTAAGATCACTCCAATTTCTGATTTAGATCCTGACACAAACCACTTTACAAACTTTCTTAATGACTTTTATACTTCTATAAATACATCTTCCCAATATTATACTGCTGAATCCTTTAATAAATCTTGTAACTTGTCCTTGTCCTTCACTCTATCTCTGTTCCACTTAAATGTACGAAGCCTTCCTTGCCATTTTAATGAACTCAATGAATATCTCTCCTCCTTACACCAAAATTTTACAGTTCTTGCAATAACAGAAACATGGCTAACAGATAATATCACAGAAAATTATAGTATACCTGGTTATAATAGCATACATCACTGCAGAAAGAATAGATCTGGAGGGGGGGTTTCACTATACATAAGAAACGACGTATACTATCAAGAACGACCCGACCTAGAATTTATCATCGACGACACAGGCACAAAGAGTATATCCATTGAAATAATTCCAAGTAACCCGAAGGAGAAAAAAACAATATTGAGCTGTGTGTATCGCCCACCAAATACCGACATTGCAGAATTCAATGAGCGCATAAAGGAATCTATGAACAATATTAATAGGGAAAGAACAACTTGTTACATTATTGGTGATTTCAATATTAATCTGTTAAACAACACTAACAAACCCACTACTGATCATGTAAATGAAATGTTCTCATCTGGTTTTTACCCACTTTTATGCAAACCTACCAGAATTACACCCTACTCTGCTACCTTGATAGATAACATTTATACAAACTCTGTTAACAACAATATCAAAGTTGGCATCCTCATCACTGACATATCAGATCACTTCCCAATATTCCTTACATCCGATTTAAACGAGCCAGTAAGGCAGACAGACAAAATATCTTATCGTCGAGTTAACACAACTAACATTCAGAAATTTACACAATCCCTATCAGAAATAGTATGGAGCGACGTATTAAACGAAACAGACACAGAAAAAGCATGTAATCAATTTTTTGAAACATACGGATCGTTATACGAAAAATGTTTCCCAAAGAAAATTACAAAAATCTCCCAACATTCTCGCAGAAAACCCTGGCTAAGCAGTGGATTGTTAAAGTCAATACGCAGAAAAAACAAGCTCTTTACTAAATATGTCAAGAACCCGACACCCTTAAACCACAGTATCTATAAAAAATACCGGAATAAGTTAAATCATCTCCTAAAAAATGCAAAGAAGGAATACTACCACAGAAAGTTTAATGAAGCCACCAGTAATATAAAACAAACATGGAACCTGATAAATGACGTTTTGAATCGTAATAAAAGTAAATCAGCTGGTCCAAACAAAATACAAATTGGTACCAAAACTACCGAAAATAAAGAAGAAATATGTAACGAATTCAATGATTTTTCATTAATATTGGACCTACGCTTGAGAGTAAAATCCCAAAAGGAATACAAGACCCTCTTAGCTACATCACCTTACAAGTAAATTCTAACCTAACAACTTTTATACCACCAACCTGTGCTGAAATTACAGATATTATCAAAAACTTAAAAGACTCAGCTGCTGGTCATGACGAAATAAGCCCTAAAGTACTAAAGTTATCACTGCCCTATGTTATTGCCCCTCTAACGCATATTTTGTCTCTATCCTTGCAAAATGGAGTTGTTCCTCACCCACTAAAAGTCGCAAAAGTGACGCCTATCTTTAAAAGCAGTGATCCACTTAGCGTTAATAACTATCGACCAATATCTGTCCTTCCCTGCGTATCTAAGGTCTTGGAAAAACTAGTATATAATCGTCTTCTGAAACATTTAAACCAAAATAACATCCTATATAAACACCAATATGGCTTCAGAAAGGGCTATTCTACGTCTCTAGCACTCATACACTTAATGGAAAAAATCTCTACCGCTATAGATAACAAAGAATACACTATAGGAATCTTTCTCGATCTATCAAAGGCTTTTGATACAGTTAATCATTCCATTCTACTCAATAAACTAAAACGATATGGTATATGTGACACCGCAATAAAATGGTTCTCTTCTTATCTATCCAATAGACAGCAATACGTAACCCTTAATGATTATAAATCACAACTTAAAATGATAGAATGTGGTGTCCCACAGGGTTCGATACTAGGACCCCTACTTTTTTTGATTTATTTAAATGACCTCGAAAAAGCATCCTCAATTATATTCTTTATCCTATTTGCAGATGATTCAAATCTTTTTCTTTCAAACTCGAATTTTGATACGCTAGTAAACCTGGCTAACGAAGAATTGGAAAAAGGTTTATATCGTGGTTTTGAGGCAAATAATTATCAGTCAATGTTAAGAAGACATACTACCTTATTTTCTGTAATAGAAATAAAACCTACAATAGAAGCGCCAAAATCTTTCTAAAAAATGTGACCCTTTCTCAAGAGAGTCAAGCCAAATTCTTAGGTATAATCATTGATGAACGATTGACCTGGAAACCACATATAACTATGTTAGGTAAAAAATTTCAAAAACTATCGGTATTATTGGAAAAATTAAACATCTTCTTACACAAAAAACCATTATTACCATATACAATAGCTTAATATACCCATATCTAACCTACGGGAATATAGTCTGGGGATGCGCCTACAAAACCACACTACAGCCCCTAGTATTACTCCAAAAAAGATTTGTTCGTTCAGCCACCGGCGCCAGTTTCCACGCACATTCTGCACCTTTGTTTACAAAACTTAATATTTTGAATATTTTTGACATAAATAAACTTCATCTGATGTTATTTACGTTTAAATTCCTTACTTGTTCTCTTCCAGACACATTTAATGGTCTTCTAAATCTTAATTCCCATTTTCATACTTACCAAACTCGACAAAGTGCCCATTTCCATATCCCCCTAGTTAGAACGTCCTTAGCCCAAATGAGTGTAAAATATAAATGTATAACTACTTGGAATAATCTCCCGCTCCACCTAAAATGTTTAACATCAATAATTAGCTTTAAACGAAATCTTAAAAATCACCTACTTTTCTTTTCCACCGACATTTGATTTCTTATTACTTTGATTTCATCTGTATAAGTCTGAATCTCCGTTTCTCTTTAAAATTCATTTATTTTCTTGAGTTATTGCTTCAATTCTGCCAATGTCTGTATTGCAGTTAAAGTTCTGTTAACGTTAAAGTTATAGTTTTTAACATATCATTTCTAATTAGCGTTATTTATCAATCACTTTTGTTATTCATGTTACTATTTGTTTTGTTACTATTATCATTTTGATCATATTGATCAAATTTATTAATTACCTATTGTTATTTATTATTATCATGTGATTTGTTAGCATTATTTCAGTTGTTAATTAATTTTGTCGGGGAAGATCCCAGACAAGCCACTATGGCTTCATATCTTTCCCCAGCATTTTATTTTATTGTCAGTAACATTTTCATTTTATTGTTATTAAATTATATGCGAACCAATAAACAAACAAAACAAACAAAATAAGTACAACAAAAACTAAACAAATCCTAGCAATTGAATTTGAAATGATCAATTCCGACATCGTACAGAGCATCAAGTTGCTAGTGGACCCGAATTTCTACCACTCAAACAACCGAGGTTGGCTAAAGTTAGGGGGCAGCCTGATCAGACTTAGGCTACGCCAACGTTCCAATACGCATAAACTGAATTTCAGTTAAATTGGAATCAAATTTGACTTATAACCACGACTTAACCACCAGACAAACACCATCCACACCCTAGAATGTTGTAACATTCAGTTGAGCCAACAAGCCGATCACCAACTGACTCCGCCGATTTAGCTCCCAACTTAGTCCTGACCATAGTCGAGCGGAGTTCGGCTAGTTTTCGGGAGGCCACATTCTGTCATGTGTGATAGGGACTATAAGCCCATACCTTCCACTGGAAAGGATGTACAAAGGCAAGCAGGTCCCTGTCCTGCTCCGATGGTTTGCGCATGACCAGCACGTTCCCATACTCCATAAACGGTTTGGTGAAGTCCACTGCTTTCTCTCTCAGAGACGTGATGGACAACGCTGACACGGCAAGATCAGCTTTCTACAAGTACAGAACAAAATGAAAAAATGGAGGTATTCTTTGGGTATACTTGTGTGCGTTCGCTCTCTCTCTCTCTCTCTCTCTCTCTCTCTCTCTAGATAGATAGATAGATAGATAGATCTCGCTGTTTTACAACTGTTTTAGATAGTTATATGACCTCTTTGACAGCTGGTGTTGCTTTCCTTGCACAATAACTACATACCTGTAGACATTCTACTTGTGAATGAAATGTCGACGTACCCCGGAAGTAATTTCTCCAATGACCCCTGACCAGGTTCCATCAGGCAGTTCGTTTCCGGAAATCCCATCCGGAGTTTCGTACAGTTCGTAGTTGAAGTTCAGAATTCTGGACAACTCTTCCAGCAGACTGATGCAAAATCCAACCCACTCATATCCCGTGGGACTTGCTTCTTTTACCACAAATGGTGGTCTCTGCAATTTAAAGCAATGTTATGCAAACTTTTCGCCAAATTATTGACATTTTCTTATCTAGATTGTCATTTTCAATACCTTTCAACATATTAGCATCGCTATTCAGGTTACTGGCCCTTCCTTCCCATTGTCGAAGTGATTTTATATCATTAAGCTGCAGCATAAAATTGCAAATGGCTCTGCAATAGGTTCAGAATTTTTAGTAAGAAAAAAATTACACTGGGCATTGCAAAGTGTCTTCTTGCAATGGTCTCCAGTGTTTCAAAGTCTTAAATGGTCTTTATGTAACCTTTTTGCACCCAAAACTAAAATCTTTTAATTAAAAAAAATTCCTGTGATTGTCACTTACTTCCATGTTTTTTGCAATTATCCTAAATTTCTGACATTCATAGCAGGCGGTAAAACAGGCCTAACGAGGCACACTGGGTTTGTTTCGCCACCAGAAACTACAAGAATGTAATATATTATGAAAATCATGGCAAACATCCTTGTTGTCATTTTTTAAACACATTTGTATGGTGTAATATTTTGACACCGCCACTAATAGAGTAGCTGAGGGTTAATGCAGCTTACTTTGTAAATTGCCTTTCTGTATCGGCCTAATGATACATAATGCGGCATCAACACTATCAACACTAAACATACCAAATACCTACGTATAATCAGGTCAACCTTAAAACCGATGGTCCAAAAAAGGCAAAACGTAATCACCCATAATGTGCCTCAATATCAAATCAGTATTAAGGATTCACTCTGTTCGCCTGACAAAGGGTGTTGTCAAGATAAATGTATCACTTATCATATTTGAAGCATTGCCAGTTTAACGCAAGCAATGCAAATCTAGGGCGGCTAGACAAAAATATTATATTCTGGATGAGTAATAGTCTGATATTGACATTTGTTGTCATTCCTTGGCACATTTTTGTCATTATTTCATACATGAGGCGTTAAAAAAAGCCCAAAACAAGCTACGTAAGGCATCTCTTTATTTCCTGGGCACTGCCCACTAATGCATAGAATCGGCGTAGGGTTTTTGTTCAGACAAAACAAGAAACCGTTTTTGGTTAGTGACATCGAATCTTTGCATCACAAAAAACAGTCTCCTATGGTATAGGATTAATTCAACTTAATATTTTAAAAGAATAACCAGAAAATGGACCAGTTTTGCTCCCCTGAAACTGCATTGGATGCCTTAAATCAACAAATTTCTTACCTCGAACACAGCTACACGTAGAACACTGCCTGGTTCATCCATGGTGTCGGACTAAAAATCTTGTACCTTTATAACGCTAACGATGCGAGATTCCCTTTCAGAAACCCGATAAGTCTTCCTTCTGAAACATAAACAAAGACAGATACTGTGATTCCGGACAGAAGCTGGAAGATAATAAATGGAGTAGTAAGATCGTATTGTACCATCAGCTGCGTACGGCTCCCTTATGGGTAAGCGCACAATTTGAAGATCAATCTTTATGTGCCTTTGAGACAGTGGCGGCCTGTTTGGAGATGCTCTATGCGTACTCACGTTTACAGAACACGTTTCATAGAACTATTAAAAGCGTCTTAGGGAAAGAGTCCCACATGGTTGCTAATCTTAGGTTAAACAAGTATTTGTGAAAAAGCCGGCGTGGTATATATGGCATTTTTCGTGCTAAAATTACATACAAGAAAAGCCTTTCTTCTATGAACGGAAAAAATACTCTGTACTTAAAATTAATGTTACAAAATGCAATGTGTATGATTGTTCACACCTCTATCAAAACGTGATGGAGAGAAAGGACAGAAAGGATTTCAGAGAAAAAGTATTTTGAGGTTTCTTGACCCTTCAGGGAAGTGTTTCAGGTTTCTATGTTTATGATATATTGAACTGTGGAGGGGGTTGAATCATGTAATCTAACATCACTTCCTGAATTTCTCCACATACCGCCCACTTACTCCCACCAGGCGCGTGCTGAGTCACCTTCAAGTGTGACCTCCCCATTTATCAACTGTCAAATCACCTCCATCAACTGTCAAAACCACCTGCCACCCATCGTGTAACGAAGGCTAGTTTGACTATCAAAAACACAAATAGCCTTTTACCAAACCTATTTTAGCTCCTGAGTCCTACACACTTTCCAAGGAGAGGAGTACTAATACGGCATTAAGCTCCTGTCACACATTTACGAATTCGGACTCCCAAGCACTAGCCAAAGGCCAGACGACCATCGGCTACTTTTCGCCTGCGCTGGTCGGAAGGTTCAGCCAAGGTAGGCTGGTGTTCGGCTGTAAGTCAGCAAAAACACCTGCCAACCATTTGGGATTTTAAGACATTTGTGTTCAGGGCATGATAGGGGGTGAAATTCCACCTAAATTTCAATCGAATTCGTTTAAATTCGTGTAGAAAGTGTATTTTGTGTGGCTGAATCTGGTGAGAATATATGGTGCCGAACTTCAGCTGACCTTGGTTGACTGGTGTTCGGGGGGAATGTCGGGGGAATGTCCTCGATGTGTGACTGGGGCCTCAATCTGTCTCTGAGAATCGCCCTGGTAATTTTAGAGGATTCTTTGTAGACAACTACATCATATTTCTCATCATCAATTTAAGAAATGACAATCAGCTGCTTAATATACCACATTTATTTTTATATCTTCATAACGGTGGTATTCGTGCTAGGGATTAATTCAAGGGATCACGTATTCTTATCCAATTCCGCAAGGAAGGCATGATTGATTTTTGAGGAGGTAGAATCGGGTTTATTGGTTGTAGGACGTGACGGGATTAAGGTCACAGCTGAGGAAAATCCATAGTTGAAAAAAGCCCATGTTATACAGGGGTTATGGGTCAATTAACCGGCTATGTAGATAACCTGGGCGCTAGTGGCTAATTCTTCAATGTCACCTACAGACCTCTATATAACGCAGCGCTTGGTGACCGTACAACTAGAGCATGTTAATGCCTTCATAAGAATGATTGTGGAAGCACTTAATCTATCATTGGTCAGACGATAGCCAATGATTCGGCTTGAAAGGCATCCAATGTAATTTTAGGGCGGCAAAACAGAAAAAAATATATTCTGGATGAGGAAATCTCTCTCATATTGACATATACTACTTTTTTAGCATGTTTTCTTCATTATTTCATACTTGAAGCGTCTGAAAGAGTCTAAATGCCACGTCTAGGGCCCTTTTATGTTTTACGGTACCACCAATTAATACATAGAGCCAGGCTACGTTATGAAACAAGCAACCGTATATATCAGTATGCTAGGGGATAGGATTAAATCAATTTACGATGTACTACAATAAAAAAAGTGGCCAGAAAATTGATTTTTAGGCCCTGAAATCGCTCTAAGTGCCTTTAATTCTCGTGTTGAAACATAATTCTGCCTGTGTTCAGATAGATTTAAATGACGTGCTGTTCCCAGGAGTATATTTCATTGATTATTGACTACGGTAACTCCTGGAAGCTAGGTTATCAGTAATACATAACAATTCTACTGACGTATGTACATTCATACGGATGCAATATCAGGTGTAACATATTGGCAAGAGGAGAAGAGGAATGGATTTATTACAGTTATGAACTATTATAGATTTTACGAACAAACCTGAACCCAAGTTGAGGATGGGGAAATCTTAATTTCCACCGTAAATATCCGGCCTATTTCGTCTCAAAACGTTATTGTATCGACCTTAGATGACTATTGACGTTGAAGTTGATATCACTGCTTTGGCCAACCAGGCGTTTCTTGATTAATATAAGAGATGTTGTTCGCTCGGTTGCTGAAACAGCTATTAGATAGTATCAAGTGCGGAACGTGTGGCTGTAGGTTGCAATAAAGGTATCCAAAGGGATGTCAAGACAGTAAAACTAGATCTTCAAAATCATTTATGGGGATAATTTTTAGTAACGTAAAGTTGAATCAACCTCATAGCATATAGATTACTGAGAGGAAAAAAATCGATGTCGCTGACGAGAAAAAGGTTGCTTGTAGGCTATCATAGCTCTATATTTGTGGTGGTACCAAAATAGGGGGGGGGGGCTATTTCAATGATGCTTTTGGTATTTAACTATTATAAAAATGTGCTAAGAAATGGCAGTTAATGTCAATACCAGACAGTCATGCTGAAATGTTATGATCAAATGTTTATAGCTTTATTACAATTAAAGTAAAACTATTCATTAACTCTTTAAAATAATAGCGATTCCCATTACCTGTATGATATTCCTGTTGTAGCAACAGCCAATATTTACACGTATCAGTGTGAAAAGGTGACTTGGAACATTTTAAAAAAGGTAATACATAACATATTATACCATATTATATTTTACACGTCGGAACTTATTACATGTAGCAAATTATCACATAGAGCTATCTAGGTACTCATAACGTGGAACATCTCTGTATTGCGGCCCTGGAATTACATTGGGTTCTCTAATGTAGGTCAGACGGATAAGGCGGAGATCAGTCCTGGCATATGAGTGTTACAAATGACGCCGTTGTGTTCAAACGACCCACTTATGTGAAATACCCGTAATCAAGTAGGGAACACTGCAGCACAATGGTGAAACAGGGACGTTACTCGTGGGACAATAGGCTGAAGGAGGAAAATGTTACTTGGTTATAATTAATCATCAATTAAATATCAAATTGTACTGCTATGCTTAAATCATGTCGAAGCACAACATAGCGTATCTTAGCATAGTGTATCGTATAGAGCCGTGCTAATGTATGAAATCTAGGTCCCAACCAATGTGAATTTAACGCTGATTACATATTTAATGTGTGCGACAGTTTCAACAGAAGACGGCATCATAAAAGAGATACAGGGGATTCCACACGGCGATAAGACGATTCTTGCTTGTAATTATACCCTCTTATGATCAAATGATTAATGGCGTTATCAAAATTAAAGTAAACATATTTAAAAACTCTTCATAGATAATAACGAATTGCATTTGCCTGTATGATTTTCCTGTTGAAGCAACAGCCAATATTAATAAGTGTGTACAGTTGACATGTAACATTATCAAAAGCAATGTATGTTGATCGTAATGAATAACATATTATATCATATGATATTATATTATAAATAGTGTAATATTAATTACGAATCATCTGCCTACTCATAACGTAGAATAAATTGTGCCAAGAACAAATACAAATTTCACCCACAATTTGAAACCAAGCCGCATCGCCACAATTTCGGAACGAATAGAAACATTAGGATGACATCATCAGCAGGTCAATCAATATGGTAAAAGCAACTAATTTTTTTATTTGCTTCGTTAGACTGTAAAGAGTGTTTTAACATTATTTGTATATTGCTGTGTTCAATTTGTAATTTTTATGAATGTACTTTTAATGTGTGTGTGCCCAGGGATACCTGAAAATCAGATCAACGGATCTGAGGTATGCCCTGGTAAAATAAATAAAATTTAAAATTTAAAATTGTTTTGCATAAAGAACCATGATGAATGACTAGCCCTTAGAACTGCAAAATAAACAACTACCGATATAAAATAAGAGCAGTTACGATTCAGATGAATTAACATAGGTAACAAACGATATACAATTTAAAATAGGAATGGTTGCAATATTGAGATGCATTGATAAAAAGGAAACAAAGGAGGTATTTTAAATAAAATATGTGTTTCTCTCCAACTTATTCATGCCATCCTCGTAACATACCTGGAGGCTAGATTGCTCGCAATGACATTGAACTTCCTGGGACCATCCCACTGTGCGTACAAGTGCAATCTTCTACAGATCGATATTAGAAGACTGGTGTCAAAAGCTTTACTGTTAAGTCAATAAGATCAATATAACATTTCATGGGCATTTTCCTAGAGGCTAAGCTTACCCCCCCCCCCCCAACATTTCATTAATGGCATTGTTCATTCTCCGTGAGTAATATGACGCTGATCTACATTACTTTCATTATAATTTTTTGAGCGCCTGTCTCGTGAATGATTGGGGCAATCACACACCAGCAGGGTTTTATTGTAAGAGTTAGAAGAGCACAAGAAGAGTATAAGAATCAAGTAGAAATACCCCCAAAGTAAAGGGACAGTCTGGTTACTAACCTTTTTTTAGCTGCAAATGGCGGAGAGGAGGAAAGAGAGTCGGCAGCTAAATTAGGTTTGGCATTTGATAACCATCCTAATCCATCTTTCTTATCCATCTAGGCTATGGAAACAAAGGAAACATATGTCTTAAAAAGCCTCTATATGCATGGGAGTCCCTACTGAAGGTTTTACGATTTGGACCAAAATAACGTTGTTTCAATGTGTGAGTTGATTGTTACAATGTATTACGCAGAATTGTGGTCAGTTCCTCATATATCTGTGTTTTACATTTTCATTTATTTCTGTGCATACCTATTGCACGCATCTTATTATCTATTTTTCGGGTTAATAATCTATATCTTAATTTTCGGCCATTATTTTTTAGGATTGCCTAGCTGTACGTTAGTGATTCCAGTGGGGCTCCGCGCCATACATTGATAAAACAAGAAGACTACACATACAGCGACACACAATAAGAAATGACGTACAAGCTAATAAAAAACTTTGTTTAGTATATTGTGAACATAGGCATTATTCTGCCTAGCACATCGGGTTTGCAGACACGCAGCAGGGAATCGGATTGTTTTATTATTCTGAACGACCTGTCATTTCTATAACCTTTGCACATCTAGCAGCGATCCTAGTTTAAAGCAATGTGCCCTTGTTTATAGTGCACATGATGGTAAATAGTTTCACACCGCAAATTCCGTAGTCTAACTTTGCACATCATCTATAGTCTGAGCATGTTTCCTTTGTCTTCGAGTGACACCCATTGTAGATTTGTAGGCCATAAACTAGATGATGGTCCTTTCAGTTATTAACCAGTGAGTCGAAAAGGTGCTTTGAAGATGAAAAACAGTCAACCCCAATCCAGTAGCTATAGTCAGTGATGACCGTTGGGTCAATACGTACGATTATAACCGTGATGAAATTACCTAATTGATACATCTAGTACGGTTGTCTTCATTCACCATGCATACAAACACGTTCGAACATTCCACATCGGTACAGACAATATTACATGCGCCATAATTACGGTGCTCTAGAAATGTCTAAAACTATGAAAATATTCCTTGGTTTTGAATCATACTTTTAACCACGTTTGTAGTTTATTGTAGAAAAGCAACAGACAACCAAATTAAAAATGTACTTAGCATGTGGTAAAAGAAAAGGAATGGCTTGTAATATATTCTCACATTTTATTGACTGATATATCCAGAGTAATCGGACGATGAGGCTTACGTTCAAGAGTTGCAAGGTGCTTTGATTAATGCGTTGTCGCAAAATGGTTTGTATTTTGTTAGTTTTTACTTACAGTATAAAAAAGTCAGACATAAACATGAGCCCAGACATGTATTGTTAACTATAGGATCTTTGAGATACAATAAAATCTTTATTCTAGTTGAACTAAAAGACTAAATCAGCGCGTTAATCGTTGAAAAAATTATTGGAAAACGTCAAGAAATCCTTGGTACGACCTGACTCCAGTTGATTCAGGTTGTGACGAGGCATATCAAGTGACTATCGATAGAGGACGATCTAATTACTGGGCTGTTGTACGGTTATTTGGTTGAAGTCTCTGTTGTAACATTACCGGTACACGCACCTGGTGCATCTCAAATGGCCGCAGCTACATGTGTACCTTTTGCCCACGACTTAAAGTCTGCATTGTACGGATTTAATTATAACTCTTTTATTATATCTGTTTCAGTAAAATGTGTCGGAAAATGTGTACTGAAAAAAATAACTTTTACTTTGACTTTTAGCACCAATTGCGAAACATCATTCGAAATTCAGAAACATCATTCGACTTTACTGGCATTATTGCTATTGTAAAATCCAATCCTTTTTAAGTCCTGGTAGTACGAGTCATTCAACGAAATTCAAAATACTTGGTTCATTTATCGCACCCTACATTGAAGCAGTTCAGTTTAGCTTTTCCAGGATATGTGTGCAGATTTATATTTGTACTAGCACAATACCTAAATGTAAATATCAGGATGAGATATAAGCTTTGTTCTACACATGTTACATTATAAAATTTAGCTATCATTAGAAACAAAATTTGTAATTATATTTTGATGACATTTTTCTTTATCTATCTGTTTCCCATTTTTTTCTATTTCAGCTGTCCAAAAAGAATTTCAAACATGTTTTAGATTGTACAGTCAGTCCCCGCTAACACTAAAAAAGAAACAGAGAAAGTCTTGCTAACAGACATACTTAAATAAAACCAATCTTTTCATAGACTATTTTCCGAGGTTGAAGAAGAGACGGTGCCATGAGTTACATTATGGTGTATCTGGAGTAATGATGCCTATGGCTATAGCCATCGGTAAACCCAACTGGACAGAACCCTATTCTATAATAACAGAGTAGTAATCTATGATGTTATAAGGCAAGCGCGAATGTCCTTTTTGTTAGTGGTCATTAAAATGTATCCAAGATACACTGTGTGTTTGATTGTTTCTGCTGTCATTAGTCAGACCAAATTATGTAGCATCAAATGTTACGTGCTCTTAATATAACGCTACATCGAGCTAAATTGCACCTTAAAACATTATCATTTGTGACAACACGCACTGGTTCGAGGGTGTAATTGTTGTTTACGCATGAAATGGTATCTGAATGATTGTCTATAAATCCAACACCATCCTATGCCAAGTACAGTACAAAGCTCGCAACACTAACGTGGCTAAATAATTTGGCAAAAGGTTACCCCCCGTAAGAGAATAGCTAAAATTCTGCAATTTTATGCCGGAATATTTGTAGAATCCTACATTAATCAAAGAGACCAATCTAATTGCAGTTCTTGGAATTTCTACCAGGTATTGTAATGTTAGCTTTACACTGACAGTGCGTTCAACACGAATGTATTTGCCCCTGAAAGGAGCCCCCGCAAAATATCAATTCACGAAATATTCGTCCTGTAAAAGCGATACGTTTTATTTCATGTTTGTTACTCATTGGTAGAAATAATAAAACGTCTTACCTCTGTATCCATTAATTGCAACGTGAAATCAAAACTTCCAGCGCAGATGAAGGCAGAATATGTAATTATGCCGCAATCACGGAGACGACCACCTCGGATTCACACCGAACCCCACATTTCCGCAGACCCTCCGTGTTACTACCAACAACCACGATTGGTAGAGGAGTCTATTAAACATTTACGCCATCCTGGAGAGAGTACCAGATCGTAATCCAAGTGTCTCTTGATAACACAGAGTAGATTGTCATTCTAGTCGACCAGAAGAAACAGTTTCCATCTAAAGCAAAGGTCATCATAACCTCGCAGGAACATAAACCGTTTGGAGGGTTGGCCGTGAGATTTATTGATTAGTTACAACAGTACCAGTTTATGTCTTCTAAGGCTCCCGGATGTAGGGTGACAGAACGTACAGTTGTATGATGGAATGTTACTACCGGATATTTCCCTTTCCTATTTTTTAAAGTATCTTATATTAATAATAATGACGTATAATGATTTGAATGTGTGGTAACTTTTTGTTAATCAGTCAATTATGTAATTACCAGAGCAATTCAGGTCCCAATTACATGGGACATGCTATTCTGTACAACTGACGAATGCATGACGAATAAATCATTATTACTATTATTATTTTCAAAAATCCTAAACGGATGGAAGTGGAATCGTTACAATGTAGCATTTACGTGGAATTCGGTAAAATACACGATTTGTTCTTGCTTACCACACATTAAATGTAGATATACCAAAACTTCAATTAAATGAAATATAGGTTAATGTAAGATATTGTAATTTGCTATGTATTTTATTGCTGTATGAAATGCATTGCTATGTTTTGTAAACAAGGGCTATGGAACACTTTAGGATTTATGCAGCTTTGCTTTACTGGTGGATATTCTAAGTAAAGTAAAGTAAAGTAAAGACACAAACAATTAGTCCCCAAAATAAAGATTGCCGCAGATATCACTATCTGCATTGATAGGTCATGATGGTGAAATAGCTTAAAGATGTGCCATTAAGCTGTCATAAATGGCATTGTCAAACAGGTAAATAACAAATTGAGAGGTCTTAATTAGTTTTAATTATAACATAAGCCCATTTTATGCCTAGAGCGAGGACTAAAAGTGCCCGGGCCAACTTTAATGTCTGATAACGTCTGAACAGCTTGTGCTAGAACAACGTGACATTTCCTAAAATATACCTGGCAACAATATTCAATCGATAAGTTGAGTTTTTAATTTTCAATCTGCGCTTTATTAATGATCTTTTGCAACATATGTTCATCTCTAATAGACGGTCAATATAATTGTATTAATTTCATTATTTATTTAGATGTTGTCTCTCTTAAATCTGTTACTGTAAAATAATTTACTGCTTTTTGGGGATCTTGCAAAGAAAGAAGATCTTGATGCAGCAGTTGGAATCATTCCATAGTCCCCTTTTCTTCTTTGGTCCAATATAGTTACGTCTGACTGTCTGTTGAAAAATAACACACAGCTTATTGACTAAGTAATATTTACTTTCTTCCTAATGTACAGCCATAAAGGTTATTAATAAACAATGTTCATTCAAGTCCTGCCATTCTTGATATATGTCCTTTAAATCAATTAAGTAAGAAAAGGACCTGAAACAAATATTTCATTTTAGTAAGCTTTCAAAGTTCACGAAAGGAACAAAGAATCGCCCACCTTTAAGTACACAAAGGCGCATTTTTCTCTCCCCTTCAGGTTGTTCGGTTCACCTCGACGCCAGTTTTTGTAGCGTAGGAGTGACCCATCCGACCACTTCCACTGCTTCCCAACTTTGTGAAGTCCAATCCACACACGAGCGGCTGTGTTATAGATTTAGATTCGGTCAGACAGACATTTGTAATGCTAACTGAGTGACTATGAATACAATTAAGCTAAAATATCATCATGTAGTAAACAGACAAAATACTCACCTAGTACCCCGCCAACCATGTAAGAGTTATATACTTTATTTTAAAAAGGGAAAGATCAACACCATAAAAATCAATGCCTGGTATGCACCTTGTGTATTGAAAAGTATACCATGCCGTATGGCAAGGTAGCATGTGTTTCATGTATAGGGTAGCGTTAGAATAAGGTATCTAGAAGTAGATTTTAGTATTGTTGTTATCTTTTGATTTAAACACTTGCCATACATTGTATCCATTGCAATTGTTGCGCAATAAAGATTGATTGATTGATTGATCGATTGATTGATTGATTGATTGATTGATTGATTGATTGATTGATTGATTGATTGATTGTATGAATTTAACAACAAAATAATTTAAGAATAGAATCACCGACTGTACGAAAGGCTATCTACCTTATTTCTGGCCATTTTGCTTAAATACAATAGCACAGACGCCAACTGCTTAAATTGTATAACACAAATAGATGAAGCATAAATAATCAAATACGTATGCCACTAACACCATCTTTTATATCAGGGCATTTGGTCTTCATAGAATTCTACAGAAGCTTATCAGATTAACAGGAAAAGACAAAAATGCAAAAGTAGTTTCTAAAATCTGTACTTGTCTAATATACTCCGAATGACAAAAATAAGCCAATTTTAGAATCGAGAAAAAATTAAATGACTATAAATGATGTACCAATGACTCTTGAAAAAAAAAGGTAGCAACGACTCTATCCTTTGCAAGGCTAGGAAAATTACAATTAAAAAATGATATGACCTGCATTACACAGATTAAGAGTCCATTTACATTACATTGATAGATAAAAATCGATTTTCATATACTGTCGTACAGGGCTAACAAAAAATGAGGATTTTATGCTTCTATAATGGAGTATGAAAAAAATGAGGATTTTATGCTTCTATTAAGGAGTATGAAATTCTTGTCTTCCTGAATTCCCCGTGTTGACCTCTAATTCCTGTTGGCTAAACTAGCTACATTATTTCACCGCCTTACATTTTTCCAGTCAACCGTACCCTATCTATGTGCTGTGCATGTGAATCTACTCGACAACTAAAAGCCTACAGCTCAATCAGCTGAAAAATGGCTGTGCTTTTCTTACCTTTAGGTCTGAGACTTTTGATGAAGTATGTCTCGCCATGGTTCAGGATTGAAGCAAGGTTTGCACCAAGTCGTTTACATCGTGAATTTGCCTCAAGCCAGTTGACTTTGTCGTCGACTAACTTGTAGCAGTGGTTGTTGTACTCACTCCATCCCCTCTGGCATTTTCCACCTGTAACTTAAGAACAAAGGTTAGCAGCTAAAGTTGTTTATGGTCTTAAGCTTGCCATGCTTCTATAACAAGAAAGGGCTATCTATAATGTCATTGGTATATGTCATTATCTTCGCCAAGAAGGTTATGTTTACAGAGTCGTTCGTGTGTGTGTGTGTGTGTGTGTGTGTGTGTGTGTGCGTGTCTGTAAACACTATAACTTGAAAAGTCTTAAATTGGTTGACTTGATATTTGGTAGTTGGGTAGGTCTTGTTGAGACCTGGAAATGATTTGATTTTGGGCCCTCTAGCCTCTTCCTATGGTACTACAGCTGCAGGGGTGTTTGCTTAATAATATTCAAAAGAGCTCATGAACCGGTGGACGGATCATTATGATGTTTGGTATGTAGTGATGCTTGACATAATTATGTGAAAATTATGCAAATATGGATAGAATTTGTATGATTTATGAGGAAATTCTATAAATCAAGCTTTTGGAATATGTAATTTATACCGAAAGACAGGCAGATCTTTATTATGTAAATTAAGACTTATTTTGCATAATGAGAAAACGTTGTGATACAGCAATATGCAATGGTAACTGCCTGGAATTTTCTACTTAGGGTATTTGAATGTTAAGTGAAGGTGGGTGAATATCATTAAACAGAACGTATTCAAATTAGGACCTCATTTGAATGATTTATGACGAAATGCCAGAATGGCATTGTTTGCCCAGATGAGACAGTTTTTGGTGGAGAATAACATATTTGGCGATCAACTGACAGTACCGCCAAAACACACTAGGAGTGCTAGTAAACAGCACCCCAACATCCTTTCAAGCCCCTGAAATTCCTATACATATTAAAGGAACAATGAATGTTAGCGATTCGTCAATGTTCTGCAAAACTATCTACACGTGCGCTGATTTCAATATTGCTTACCCGTAATATGCAGAGATGTTACGGGGAAAGGTGAAGTCTCGGCAGTTCCAGTGGACCCTGTAGGCGATTCACCTGTTTCCCAGCCCGATGGCAAGTAGGGTGAGGTCAAAGTGCCAATTTCTGAGCTGTTTGCCATGAAGTCAAAGACTGTCATCGGCCATTGAGTAGTTGGATCCTCTAGCTTTCCACTGGTCACCATGCCAGCGTCATCAGTTGACTCATAAGTCTCCTATAAATATATACAGGTGCATCCAGCATCAGCATCTTTTTGTGATAAAACAGAAATCAGTATGATACTAGAAAGGTAACATTTGCATTGTGTTTACCTTCACATTGCCCAGCTTAACAAGCTTTGTTTATTCAAACACATTCATATACATATGGTGACCATGCAGCGCATATTGAACTCAATTCTGCATGGCACTTGCAACATTTTGTAACCCAACACCAGTTACTATGATGTCAGGCGTCTGGTTCAGGTCAATGACCTTATAATGTATATCAGTTATTGCTGTAAATAGATATTCATTCCTACCTTCATTCCAGGTAGGACGTAGGGAACCAGGATTGCAGCGATAGAAATAAACACAATCATCTTGAGTCCGAAAACCAGAAGAAGCCAGCAGAGTTTACTAGCTTTCACTCTATTGAATATTCCAATGACACGATCTGAAATAAACCATACGTATGGAAATTCAGTCAAACATGAAAACAATCAATAGTAATTTAATTCCAAGCAAAAAGCGTTTATAGAAACCTGTTTCTTGTTTTCGTTTAAAATAATTCATATTCATCATCCCATTGTGTTTTTACCCACTTACCAAACGCACAAAATAAAAGGAACCAATCCACCCGTTCTTGAGTGTTCTTGGTAACAGAAAAATGCTTTCTTAAATGTAACCTCCATTTTCATCGATGTAATAATCAAGTGTCCCAAAACGTGTATTCCTAGAACTTAAAAACGACATCTTCCCTGTTAATATGTAAACAAGACCACAGCATGACCTGCAAGGAACGTATAAAACCTGAGTATTTCTGCTGTAATATAAACAGTAGCCACTCCAAATTTTATACAATTCCCCGATAGCAACACTTGTAAAAATTATCATCTCAACCCTAGGACGACAACTAGTCGAACCCATGCATGGCAGTATAGGGTCAAGCATCTTTACTTCACGAAAAAGGGAAACCTAACCAAATAAAAAAATATATACACATTATTGAAATACACATGTATGTTTTTGTTTTCAGCCAGACATATATGAATTAATATAGATAGATATGAATAAATATAGATAAATAACATTGTAGTACATAATATAAAACTAGTTTTCTGACCTACCCACCCAGAAGAAAATAAAATAAAAATAAAAAGCTCATGCCTGTTTTTTAAACGCTCTTGGTAAGATATTGACATACCTCTTGCCTTGTATGCAGAGCTTACATCTTCAGGCTCTTTGTATCCATAAGTTACCTCCTGGATGTTCTGCGCATTTTGATACCGGGGTTCAGGAGGACCAGGGTGCGGGTTGGAGTCGTTACAAGAGCCGGCACCATTCTGGGCTTCTCCTTGATCTCCCTGCATCTTCTCTCGTGTTTGCTGTTGGAAGCAAAGCAAAAACAGGAATAGAATGCTACAAGCAAAAACCTTGTTTACATACTGGTGCTGGCATAAATCTCATGAGTCATGGGTCTTCCAGACTAATCTATTTGTACACAGAGAATAATTGACGTGGCACTATTGTATGTACCTGTTTATGCATCTTATTAAGAACAAATGTTTGAAAAAACAAAATTTCATAAAATTTGGAAACATTGAAAGTCATTTCTTGCTATCATATTTTTTTCTTCTTTCAAGCAGTGCAAAACATAATTTTTTAACATCATTTATTTCGTTAAGACTGAATTTAGTATTATCTGCACGTAAAAGCTATTGGTAATGCATTTGAATAGGCATCATAAAGGTACTGTTACTTTCTGTTTATCTATTGTCTAGTTACCAGGGCTAGCCCTTCCAAAAAGCCCCGGGCTAGTAGGGCAGTTCTGGCTGAATATAATGGACCTATACCATTATTACGTCACAGTTTGTTTACCTGTTCTAAAGAACATTCTAGAACGGTCAGTTAAATAATAAAGATCATTTCAAAGTTTTCAAAGTCAGGTATGTTTGATTTTTGCTGCGTCTAGTTTTGTTGACACAGCATTACATGCCGTAATGGGTGATTTAGTTTTGACATTAGACAAAAGTAGTACTGTATAAAGACCTTATATTAAGGCTAAAGCTAAACAAACGCTACGAACACCTGTACAATATAAACGTCAATTGACCGGCATTCATTGCGGTAAACAAACTGTGACGTAATAATGGTATAGGTCCATTAAACACATGTACAGCAAGACACAGCCAATTGACATGTTGCACGCAAAAAAAATACTTATTTTTTAAAGTAGTGGAAATATAAATACCTTCGTATCCTCGTACTTCGACCCTGCAACTGTAAGTAGCAAACGTTGCGTATTCATTAAATATATGACGTTTCAGAGACGCTTCATATAAGGCTTCTTAGCTTGCTAAAAGGGAATTTGGAGATCTCGTACCTCTACGAAATATAATTTTTGTGCATACTAACATTAAACTTTAAAACTACCAACACAGACGACATTTCAAGTTAAAACTTTTTGTTTTAACTGGGTCAAGCTTCACTGGGTCAGTCTACTGAGGAAGACCAGAGTGACTGGTCGAAAGCTCTAGGTGAGAGAATTTTTTGTGTTGGACCAAAAGTTTTAACTTTCAAAAGCAGACATTCAAAAGCAATATCAGTTATTAAATAACTGATTCATAAAAATGTATCAATCTAATAGATGATATCTTAATAGCTTAACTCTGTTTCTTGTTACCTGAACGTTACCAATGTGACATCGTTTTGTCTTGTGTTGAAACTTTTATTTCATGTCTAGTGGTGACGTGAATATAAGCCATATCTCTTGTGTGCGTCACCACTATGTATTGTATTGTTTGTACGTTGAAAATACTGGCATTTTCATGGAGGTAATAAACAGAATTACGAGACTGTTCGTCAATAAATATCCACCCACGCATTACATTAGTCATACCAGTACGTACGATGGTGTCATGCAAAATGTTACGAGACCAATCTTCTATGGTAAAAGGTCTTCGCCTTTCATATATATTATCAATATTCGAATTCAATATCATGAATAAAAGCAACCCAGGGCCTCGCTGCATGTTTGTTTTTAACAGTGCCATCAAAAGACGTAAAACGCTTCAAAATATGATCCAGGGTGCGGGCCTGAACAGAATATTGTAAAGTAACAACCTCATACCTTTGCCAAATAATGTTAACCGTTTAGACTAACGTAATCAAACATTCACTTTTTCTCATTGATTTTAAATATAAGATCCTAATTTCCTTGCTATCATGGCTTAAGTCTGTTGGTCATATTCTTAACCCAATGACAGTATTATTTTAACAAAAAGTCTATTCTAGCACTTCCTGATTAATCTCTAGTATTCAAGTGAGGTCATGATTGAATAAATTCAGGAATACAAATTATGGCAAAAACTGATATGTTGGATCTAGAGTTATATTAATTAAAGCGATGCAGAGCAGTGTAGTGCAGTGTTAATTGTATATTCCGTGTATATCGAATAACATAAACCTTTTCTGGTTATGTGATTGCCACCAACAACAAAAACAAGAACAACCATAATCTGAGTGCCACTTACATTGTAGTCTACTAGTAGATATTTGACCTTATAACAAAACCTGAATTAAAGATTTTACAGTATTGTCTGTGTACAAACAGTAATGCTGATAAAAGTACTTGGGAGAAGGAACGTCACATACAAAAATAGCAAGTTTAAAAAAATTTAAAACATATTAAGAACATGTATCTACAAAAGAGGCAGACTAACTCTAAAACAAGACTTAATTAAAATACACAATCCTGTCAGATGAAATCAAAGCTTGCCATTAAGTGACAAGAATGCATCCTTAATTCATGTCTGATTGTACATGTTACTTCATGGATGGGTCATATTAACAAACCAGATGCCTATGGACTTCTAAAAATGCTGAAAAAGTACAACATTAGTCATCTTCTATGGAGAGACAAAATTTCATAAATTTTGTAATCAGTGTAAGTCATTGCACAATTTAAAAGGAGAGAAGTCACTACAAGTGTAAATGTGAAAAGACTTGTGACTATTCTTAGTCAGATGCATCTCAATCTTATGTTCAACCTTTCTTGCAAGTGGACATCCTTTGCATCTATGCATTCATAAATATGTGGGAAAGAAAATTACATACTATTAGAGAGATACCAGTAAGTAGATACAATATCACATAATTCTACATTAGAAAAATATATTATGGTCATAAAAAGTGACCCTAATACAAAAATGTATCTAGACATGTTAGTTGGGCAGAGTGTGCAGTATACAATATAGTCCCATGTGCACCAGTTGCCTTCAATGACTATCTGTAATATGAGTGACTGTACGCTTACATTGTATTTGACCAGACATGAGAAGGGAGAAAAAACAAGGCATACTGTGCTTACTGAGGGCTAATCCGTTATTTTAAAGCTTACTTTCCCTATACAATTGTATATTTACATACTACTAGGCTCAGCTACAACATGTATGTCTAAATCTAAAAGAAAATGCAAATGTCTGAAATTGATCAATTTTACAGGTAAGTTTTCTGTTCCCTTTGGTTTCATCTACATTTTGTACTACAATGTACATACATGTACAATTGTACATGTATTTACATTGTATCTAACACTTGAAGCATATGTACAAATCTTCATTCTTGGCATAGATCCTCCAAATAATGACAAACCCCCTCTAATGACCTTTAAACCACTTGTAAAACCTCTCTGAATTATATATGTTAAAAACTTTTCAGTATTAAATTTTTATCCCCAAACTGTATATACAAATTAAGATGGTAGTAGGTCCTTGATGCGTTACTTTTTGACTATGCTTCCCCAAGTGACAGCTGTCTCCTAGCCCTGTACTTAAGGTTGCGGGCGCGGGCATGAGAATTCTCGATTTCTTCAGTGTAGCTAGAAGGGAACCAGCCCTTTTCACCGTCTCTGATCCTCTCTCCCTCGTACCAACCTGGAGGGGAGCAAAACATTAAATAAAGTCATGTAATTGAAGCAGAATTGCAGCAGTATCCATTCTCTAATTATACTGCAGGGGTGTGCAGCAGTCAACTAGTCTTCAAAACACATTTCCAAGCGGCTTGTACAATGGGTTTTATCAATACTAGCAGGCTTGGTTCCATGAGTGAAGAATGAATGAGATGAAAAAAAGTTTTGCTGCAGTACCAAGTAAAGTTGACAATTTTCTTGGAGATGTTAATAAATGCACACATGCATACATCAGTGAAAGAAGGGAGGAAGGTGGGAATGAATGTAGGAATAAATGAAGGAAGGTGGGAAGGAAGGAAGGAAGGAAGGAATAATTGTCCTTACCATCAGCCATCTTCCTGCTGACATTGATGATGTCAGAGCGCTCCAGTTCCAACTCATCTGGTTGCTGGGCCTGGTAGGGATGGATCACCTGGACTTGTGGACAGTCTACACAAAGGAGAACACAGGAGTGGATTTTTAACATCATTTTATTCATCATAAAACATAACATACTGGGAAACATTAAAGATAACTTTTCAAGCATTGTTGGGCTATACTTCTACAAGGCAACACAACAACTGGAGTACACTTAAGCATAATCTTAATGGATCTTAAACTGTACTGTTACTGTAGAAAAAAATCCTCTGACATACCCCACTCCTCATAAATGGTTTCTCCTGACACATCTGACTTTGGTGGCATGATGGCCTCCACCCACCTTGTCCTCTCACTTCTGCAAAGTACACAGAATAAACAAAAATAAGCACCTCTCATGCTACAACAGTTTTACACGTGCTTGTACAATACAATGGTCAAACCTCATGATTATGCCAAATTGAATATACTTTAGGACACTCACAAATGTGATAAAGACATCAACTAATAATGCATTGTAATTAATCTCAGTGAGACTGTTGTGTAATTTTGCAATGAATCATATTAAGAACTATGTCTCAGTCTTCTTCTTAACATCAAAGGGACATACATGCATTATATAATGAGAATAATGATGAGAGATACATGTAAAGCTACTTACAAACTTGTTGCCAGGTCTATCATCACATGTTTTCCCTCATGGTTTTCAAACAGCTCCATTGTGAAGAGAGACTCCACAGGAGGGATGGTCAGTGTGCCTGTAAACCTGCGGATCTTCTGAGTTGCCGTTAGTTTGGTCCCCGCCAGGGCAAAGTCAGGATCCTCCTTATCTTTGGCCTCCACAAAACTCCTTTCAGCATAGTCAATGATGGTGTACAGTGTATCACTGAACAGTAGAAACAATTTGCGTGTAAGATGGTTTAGAATTTGATAAATAAATGGAATATCAAGATCAGTTAGAATCTGATGAATAAATGGCATATAAGTTGTGAGTTATAATGTACTTAATAAAATAAATGGCTAAAAATCTTATTATTATAACTAGAAAGGCCAATATTTGCTTTGGAGCAAATACAGCGATGGGTTCACCACATTTTACGACATGGCAGGGAAAGAATGGGAAACACAAGGGAAAACAATGATTTACATTGATATAACTATAATATGAAGTAAAATACAACTAAAACAACAGTTGGATAGCTATTCCCTACTTTATTGGTTAGGATTTTTAATTGCATAATGCAAACTGTTGATTTTCAAATAAAAAAAAAAACGTCCATGCCCGGCATTCCAATGCTGGAGCAGGAAAGCTTGAAATACCTACCAAAACACTTGAATACAGACATACTGTCAGTATGGAAATGCTTCTGTGCAGGTGTTAATCAAGTTAAATCCCAACAGCCAATCAGCAAGAAGTATAGAGGAAAGCTGCATGCCTATTGGTTGATGCCCTGCATTCCATTCTGATGACTCATGCCCAAACGTGGTAAACAAGGCAGACTAACACAGTAATACATTTGCTATAACACAGCCAAAAAACTCAAATAAAACCATTCTAAAAGCCTGTATCACAATAATTTAAAAAACGCCTAGGTGTATTTGCCCACTGTACCTCCATACCAAATTTCAGGACCTTAGGCCCTAAAATGAAGAAGCTGAATCCATTTAAAGATATGGCAGGAGGAGGAGGAGGAGGAGAAGGAGAAGGAGAAGAAACATCAGAAAAAGCAATATGGTTTCACCACACCACTTCGTGGTGTGGTGAACCCATAATTATTATAATGATAATGTACCTCTTCCTACAATGATGTACAGTTGTATGTACCTGATTATAGTACTTACATGTAAATGTAACTTTAACTGATATGTTTACCTCAGGTGATTTAAGCTCGTAAAGTGTGTCCATGCATGCATGTACATTGTATGTGTGTATCTGTTTCTGTGTGTGTATGTTTGTGTGTGTGTTTTTTTTATTTTTTATTTCCAATAAACACATTATATTACATGACTTGTGCATGCCATATATGCTGCAGTTTTTTTGTTTAGGATTCTATAGGACTGGCTAAGCAACAAATCATAATGCTCAGTCAGGGGGTAAAGTCTAGTATTTCTGACTGCCAAGTTCATACCACTTTTTTTCTTTAAAGGAAGTCACAAATACCTTTTCTTCTTTGTGATAAGAAGAAGATCAGTGAAGAGGAACAGGTGTAGTGGTTGTCTCAGGTATTTCTTCTTCTCCTGTGTGATCTGATTGAGCTCTCCTTTCTTGACCAGGTACCTTTTCCCTGACACCACTGCAATTTCCTACAACAAAAACATTATTTGTAGCTGCTAAGACAACTTCAAATATGGAAATGCAATGACAGATATTGTATATATCACAAGCTCTTTCTAATAGACCTCTTTTTAACGAGAAGACATTTTTGTATTAATTTAGCTGTTATGTATGGTAAAGAGTTGTGTCATGTCTTGTTTCATTGGGCCTGGACTTTCCCTTTCAATATCTGCTTGGTTTGCATTCATAATTATGTTAAATGTATCATGATCATGGACCAAAGAAAATGATACTCAGTATTAAGCAAAAAATCTACATACTGACAGCATACATGTCAGGCTTGCTTTAAGAATTAGTGTCTGATTAAGACAACTAAATTCTACTTAATATATAATTCTTATTCCTCCTCATATGCTATACATTTCTCCTCTGGTCTCTCAGTCACTGAGGAAAGGTAGTGGATGCTACCTGAAACGACTGTTTCCAAAATCATATCCTGTTGCTTGAGTAACTCATCTTTTGGCTTATCTTAGTACCTGGATTACCTAAATTATAATATGTTGTATACAAAGTACCATCATGAAATTTTACAATGTTGTACCTTGACTCCTGGTTTGAAGGTGAACTGTTTCTGAAGGAGAACCATCTCCTCTGTCTTGGCCATTATTCTGGCTTCCTCATTACAAGCTTTTAGTGTCTGAGGATTGACAAAATCATAAATTCAATGTATATTAGAAAATAATTAACGCTTTTAAAAAATCCAAGAGAGAAACTAGCACAATGCCTTGTACTTAATAGACTGTTAGTGTACAATATACATTATGTGCATAGAATTTGTAAGCATTCAAAAGTTATTTTGAGTCATCCTACACCAAGCAATCATGTGCGACAAACATGAAAATGATACAAACTGCATACCATTATCTTCATAACACATTTTACATGTATAAGGATAGAATGGAGAGGATAATATGCATGTATTTAATAATTCTCATCCATTTTGTACTGTATCTACTATAAGGTCAAAATTATTTTAAAACCTGAACAGATACTGAAACAATTACTGCATTATCATGCTGCACAATGCCATGTACATACATGTACTATCTAGGGCAACCAGAATAGTTTTACATCTGAAAACTGAATTGCTAACCTTGTTGAGAAACTTGTATGCTCTGTATGCAGAGTTGTAAAGTGATGTCCCAGCTTCAGCTCTCTGGATGATAGCCTGTTCATGAAAATACACATTCAGGCTGTAAACTAAAAAATCACTGCCCAAGTATTATTTAATCTGAAAATATTATTTAATCTGAAAGCTTTAAATTTAAACAAATGTCCTTAATTACACAAATACATTGTATGCAACTTTTTTTAGTGTTAGAAGTTCTGCCTGAGTGCTATACACATACTGGTTTCTGCCAACATGCTCTGTCATTCCAAATCAACTCACGTCAAAGAGCAGGGGCATCCGAGAAATGCGCTGCATAGGGAGGATGAGGAAAGACTGCAGGTCCAGTCCTGCACACATCCTGTCTACCTCCAGCTTCTGTAGCATACTGTGAAAGCCTGAATTCTCTGTCCTGGACAAGGAAGCACAATATACATGACTTGTAAGTACATGTATCAGGAGGGTCTAGTTCAACACATAATAAATAGCAAGGTTCTGAGACAGCTTTGTGGGGTTAGTGAGAGATTGAGTGAGTCAGTCAGTGATTGAGTGAGTGTGTGTGTGTGTGTGTGTGAATGAGTGTTAGTGGGTGAGAGTGAGTGAGTGAATGAGTGTGCAGATAAATCATTTTATGTCATACCAGGGCCACTGCAATCGCATGTGGCTCAATAATCTACATAATGTATATTGCATAACCACAGGTGACTACACGAACATCTAGTTCACATTTTACACAAGTAATGAATGTGATGTTTTAAAGTGCATGGCTTTTTATTTGCACAGCTTTTGTAGATGTTTTGATCTAAAAATGCAGTCCCTCAGCTTGAATGACTTGATCCATGTACATGTATACATGTAAGGTTCACCCAATGTACAATTTATTCAAGTAAAAATCAAGTTCTGTTATGTAAATAAGATTACGTGAGTCTGCGTAGAACTCTCTCCTGGTACACCAGGTTCCTGCAGTACTTGATGTACTCCTCAAAGTAACTCCTGGCATGGTTGAGAACCAGGTCTGGAACCTTGGACAGGCGGATGTCTTTGCTGAGATGGGATTCCATCGCAAGCAACAGTCTGGAGAGTACAAAAGTTACATGAGGATCACATTGACAGGCCTGATACATGTATCTCCATTCTTTTTTTTTTTACTTGGTGGTCGCCATGTAAAACAGCCACTTCAAGGTTATGTCAATGGTTTGATCCACTCATGTGGGTTACAGGTTATTATGCAATAGAACTGTAACATGCAGCAACTCTTCTCCCTGAGTCAGAAACATCATGATTGAGACCAGCTCAAATTCTCACTAGTAGTGAGGACTAACTAACCCAACATATAGGAGAAGCAGAGGTTGACATTTTAAAGGTTTAAGGTTTTAAATCTGAGATTCCAAACCTTATAGGGAACTATACAATGCATAATGTTCACAATCTGTATTCTAAGACTGGTATATACATGTACATCAGCTTTCATTATAGGAAAAAAAATTGTGTATTACTCCTATACCTAAAGGCAGTTTACCAGATACATGTATGTGAAAAATAACCACCCTTCGGTGTACATGTAACGCACCAGCTTTCAGGCACACAGCACAGTGGCAGCTGCCTATATTACACTGAACAATTTGTGTCCTAGCCTTTGATTTTAAACACTGATTAAAGCCATATAAGGATGATGCCATTACTGTGCTTGGTGGTAGTGAGTTTCACAAGGAGTTACAATTGTTCTAAGACAAAACAAGTTCTGGAACACCTTAATCCTTGGTTGATAACTCTGGTACTTGAATGTATGACTATTTCTAGTTCTTTTCTTAGCTGGTACAATCTACTAGGTACTTTAGTAGCTTATTTTGTACATCATAATGTTGACATTACCTCTCACTCTGGTCCCTGACTTCCTTACAGTTAGAAAACAGATGAGTTCTCTCTGTCCTGGTGAGAGGTCGGATGAGTCCAGGCATGAAGTGGTCCACCAGGATGTTCAAACTGCGCAGATAAGACGCCTCTGATGTCACCACCTCGAACAGGGCCTCCTGCAGCTTCATCTCATCTGGGCTGAGGGTACTCAGGACCCCACTGGTTCTCACCTGACGAAAACAAGAAAACTGTCACTTTTCTCTTAAAGTTTAAGATTCTACTTGAACTCAGGGCTGGAAAAGTCCTATTGCCCACTTGCCCAGGGCAAGTAAAAGTAACTGTTCGGGCAAGTGCATGTGCCTCTTTACTTGCAAGTAAATTGTTTGGATGCAAAGTATAGCTGCTACAGTGTTGATATATTTGATGTCATATTTGATGTTAAAGCAATTTTGGGACTGCCTTATAAGTCCTCAGGAAAATGAACAACTAAACGGTACCTCAGGAAGGTCTTTCCACATGGTTCTCTTGAGGGAAGCTTCACTAGCAGACATGGAGGGGACGTCTTCATAATCCTGCTCCTCCTCCTCTTCCTGCACATCATCTAGCTCCTCCTCTGTGATGGCATCAGAACGGTTGCTCCTGATGCTTCTTGCAGAGTTCTGTGCTCGATACACCTGGTACAGGGGCTCTGAAAGTTACAGGCATTACAAAATGTAAGTAAGATTCTGCACTGAAACATTTTAGATGTGATCACCGTACAAAAAGTATGGTAATAATTGGATATTGAGATTTTCTTACAGACAACCAGTGCTTCTCCTAGTACCTAGAGTGCTCTGCTTCTTGCCCTACACTGTGTATTGTGTATGTCTCATTTGGCTACATACATAATAATGTATAGTGGTGAAAAGCAGTACTCCAGTCAGCAGCTCTGAGAAGGTGTCTGATAGACATTGAGATGTCATGTAATATAAGCAAAGTGAGAGCAGCACTGTTTGTGTGTGAGATTTAGATCCCAATGTCCAGTGTGTTCTACCAAATTGATAAAATTATTTAAGGCGGTATGGTTTGTTGATGGACATATGCAACTGTATACAGACTTCAGAATGGTGACCTTTATCATTTTGTCCTGTCATTTTTGGCACTTTTTAAGATGACTGTACAATGAACAAAGTCATGTACACGTTTATGTAATACGATGCATGCACAGAAACAATGTGACAGCTGTACAGTATATACTATATGATACACATTATGCCGGTACCATGGAAAAATCTGCTCTGTCTATTGTTGGTAACATAGTCCACCCTCAGGTCTGCTCCAGGACTATCACTGTGTGACTGCTCCACTCTGTGTCAACACAAGAACCATTATACATGTATATGCAAAATTAAAAGCTAAATCTTGTACAGTAAATTGGTTTCAAGACACATCAGAAAATACCAGACAATTAGTATCAAGACAAATCAGATCATACCAGAAAATAAAAAAAAAGTCAAGTTTAATACTACTAGCAAAAGACCATATACAATGTAACAACCACAAAGCAGAAGCAAACAGTAGTCTTGGTCTCCTACTTACATATAGGGATAAGAGCAAAGCACATGTTCTAAAATAAAGCATGAGCCAACTGTCTCCTTGTTGTAATTCTGTTGACAGGCAGAATTTACAGCCCTATTCAGGTCTTTTAGGAGTGAAAAACCCTCTACCACACTACCACAATTTTCTAACACTATCAGTTTTGTTTATGTTTTACAGCAAGAACGTGTAGTGTTATCCAAAGTCACGTTTAATGTCAACTCACACCAAGCAGAATATAAACAAAGATATATCACTTATGGTACCCTGTCATTCATTAAGCTGTTTAAGGTTTAAGGTAACACTAGGCTGTCAAACTGTCTGCTACAAATGTATCATCTGTATTTCTTACAAGTGTGAATTGTTTAATTAGGAAAAGAGCTAGTATAAGGAAGAAAGTGTCTAAATTTATAAGTGAAGTACAGTACAAATAAAGCAGATCTCAATATCTTTCTTTCCTTGTTCCTACAGGAACACATCAAAGATGCATATGCCAATTACTATTTCAAGAAAAAGAGGCTTGGGCTTTGTGCTACATTCTGAATCAGTGTTAGTTGACTCTCATTCTCACAAAACTGAAAGCTAATTTCAATAAATATTGATGCTGCAGTGTCATAATTTTCTTGACAATGTAATTATCCCTTAAAGACATCAATTTCAAGGTGGTAAAATAAAAAAAAAACAATATTTTGGATAAGGAAATCTGTCTACTGCCATTTCTTAGCACATTTGAAGGATTTAAAATAGCCCCAAAACATTTCTTTATTTTCAGTTCCACAAATAGCTATGGAGCCATCCTACAATATGGAACAAGCAATGGTTTCCTATCATTAAAGTATCAACAACATGACATTTTACCTCACATAAAATTATATATCAGTATGCTATGGAACAGAGTTCATTCAATTTACTTGTGACTAAAAGAAATGCCTAGACAAGAAATTGGCTAACTTTGAAAATCCAGCTTTTCCACCCTGGAATTGGTTTTCAATTATCTAAATCAATAAAAAAGACCAAGTACAAACCTTTGATTGATAGGAGTTAGAAAGGCTGGCATTTCTCCCCCAGGAAACATGGGAGTCTCGTACCCACTGCCTTCCACCTGCACATTTGACTTCTGGACAGTGGGAACTTCATCAAAGTCCATGTACACACCCGGTAGTGGATCAGGCATGTCTTTGTCTTTGGCTCCTTGAAAAAAAAAGTAATAAAAAAAAGATACAATTGGACATAGCAGAATCTACATACACACAATTTCAAGGTGTGTTTTAAAAGTGCTTTTCCCACCAATTAATGTCTACATGTAGGGGCATGTTGGTGGACCCAGGACCCGTGGTTGGTTCTCTCACAGTCTGCCTAAAAATTCTATGACATGAAAGCTGTACGTCACCTTACGGCAAATGTGACGGTGTCGTGACATTTACTTTTTGATTTAGCCCCTTATTCACAAATGCAGACTTAGTTTTTAAGTGTTGTACATATTTGTCGTGAATCTGTATGTTCTGTTCGTACCTACGTTGTATTTTTATGTATTATGTAAGGTCAGCACAATTCAGCAGTCCATAAATTTTTTTTTATGTACTGCTTCTATGCTGACCACTGTTTTGAATAAAGAATAGAGAATACATACCTCTCGACACAAGAACATCCTCATAAACTTCATCCTCATCAGCGTTGTCTGGCAGGATATAAAGGTCATCATCATCATCATCCCCAGTGTTGTCTGGAAACTCTACGATGTCCAGATACTCTGTGCACATGTACGTACTGTCTTCCATGGAAGGCCACTGTTGCTCTGGAAGAAAATAAAAAGCCTTATGAATCAAAATTAGCCTTTATTAAAAAGGTTGATATACATCATAATACATATCAGCAATAAGAGTGTTTGTCGACTGTTGGGATATTACAAGAATGTATTTTTTTTTTTTGGCCAAGGGCAAACACATTCATGTGCTGGGCCTGCCTGAAACCCATATTTTTATTATTTTATTGTGCATAACATAAAGATGTCTCTTTTTTCCTTTAACGCTGAAAAAATCTGCAAAACAGACAAAAATCTGGAAACAATGAATGGACTAAGAGAAAACAAGCTAAGTCTGGTGGACAACTTTTCCAGCCAACATAACATTCCTGTGGTCACAACTTAAGAATAAGACTGTGACATCATACCTGAACTCTATCTAAAACATTCATCCATTTGAAAGGTATTTCCTGTAGAAAAAAAATGTGATGACTGCTCTGTAAATTGTGTAGATTGATGGTTAACCATTGTGTACCCAACAACGCACCTGTCAAATCTCTTCTGGGCAATGTGGCTGGTGGTCTGTCATCGTGGCGGGCTAAGTTTGGGACACCCACAGAGTTTTTGCTAGATGCCATGGGTTCATACTCCTCTCTTTCCCCACCAAGCTTCTCTAATGACTTCCAGTTTCTTCCGTCCAAAGCCCTAGCAGCAAGGGGAGAAAGGGTGTCTGGACACGATGAGGGGTTTAGAGATTGTTCTACTGTGAGATCACTTCCTGACTTTGACTTAGCCAGCATGTTGTGTAGAAAGGACTTTACTCCCGTGTATTTCCCCAACCCTTTTGCTTGCCCCGAGTTTCCCTCTACCTTGTCCACTAGTACAGCGGGCAGAGTTTTCTTCTTTCTTGCTCTTTCTACGTCCGCTTTGGCATTTGGTATGTTCCTGGGGATGGCAGTAGGGAGTGTTTTAGTTGTATTTGCTGCCTCTTCCTGAGCTGCCAAGCTGGTTACCCTATCAGGAGGGTTTGGAGAAGAGTTGCCATTTTTCCCAGTTGTTCTTGGTGGTTTGGGAATGGAATTAATACCTCCTGGTAGCACAACTTCTAACTCAGCTGAGTTTCTAGCCAGTCTATTCCGAACAGGTTTAGAAGGAACTGGAGGTGGTGGTAAAGTAGGTTTTGGTATGGCTGTACTTTTTGAAAGCCTGTTGGTGTCAGCGTTTGGAGGAGAAAATGCGATGGACTCGTAGATATCATGATATTCATGATCGTCGTCATCATCTGTCTCCCAGGAGTCTGAATCTTGGGCTTTCCCCTCAGAAGGTTCCTGGAAGAATATTTAGTTGCTTTATATCATTAGCTTCTCCTGGAAGTGGACATTGCTACATGTTTTTAAATGTACACGTATCTATCATCCCTATTTATATGCCAGAGGAAAACAATTAAAATGCATTGCCCTGGCACACCCCATCTTTTATTAAGCTAACGAAAGGGTATAACCCCGAGTAATATGGTCAACCGATGATGATTATTATTTCCACAGTTGGAGCAAGAAGTAAGTAGGAGAAAAAGGTTTTCACAGTGTTTTAAGTTTGGGACTGAAACAAGTCTGTATTCGTGAATATAGAATGGAAACACATATCCATGATGGCAATGATTTCACAATAAAAAATACTGCAAACATTTCAAGATTTAAAGTTAATATGGGGTAAGTAGGTCAAAAGTAAATTCTTCTACCTTTCTTGGGGGTAACAGCACATCTTCATACTCCTCATCATCCCAATCTTCCTCTTCCACAGTCACAGCTGTTATCTTGTCCCTTCCGTCTGATGGCAACAGTGGTCGTGTCTTGACTGAGGGAGACTTCCTACTGCCAGATCTATTCTTCCTGCTTGGTCTAAAATATTTTCACATTAATCAACATTTAATGATATCAAATAGTAACAGTGAATTCATTTATATTGAATTTCACAGTAAAGAGTGGAGATTTCTATAGTGTTTCAAGCTACATTTGTTTTTTTGTATGGTTGAAACTTGAAACAATATTCTGTAGTATTTACTGTACATGTATTCGACATTGGGGACGTTCTTACTAGTAATTTTTTTGCAGTTTTAAACTTGATGGTACTAATATTCAATGAACAAAGACATTTGGACAAAAAAACAAACTCAAATCCTGATTTTTGCAGGCAGCTACTAGTAATTTGATTAAATTCTGTCAGTGAAACTAGCTCCATATAGCTCATGAAAATGTCCTCTTCCAAATAATTTTTTATGTAGTCAAGACATATGCATATATAATTACAAGTAGGTATTTTATGCTTCTCATGTACATGTAGTATGCAAAATGTATGTCAATCTCTCTTTATTTTTTGTAAAACTTGCTCACTTGAAGTTAATAGTTACCTGTTCTGGTGAAGGAAGCTCTTGGGAACAGGGACTTCAGGTTGTGCCACTTCACCTGGGACAAGATAGTAGAGATAATTGTAGGGGTAATGTTAACAACCGATCATTTGTGGCTGGCTCAGTGTGCCCAACACAAATTGCATTGTATACATGTATCATGTATGTACATACTGTACTGAACTGTATCACAATGGTGCCAACAACACAGTGACATTTACATGTACACATCATGCAAATGCAACACCAAGTAACAGAAAACCCATTGAAGATCTCATAGCAAAATACCAAATATGTAGTTTAAACATTCCATTTACAACATGATTGTACATCTGAGGTTTAGCCAGAATTCAGGGCACTTACTACAGGTACAAAATGTACATGTTGAATCGGTACTTTCTCCTGTACATGTACTTAATACTAGCATTTGATTTTTGCAGAACTACATTGTACATACATATCACTTAAGTACTTACTATAACTGTACCAGTGCATACACCACAGTACACAGCCCTAAAATAGGTGTTTGTCTTAGAGCTGACCAGGATACAGAACTTCCTGTACTTCAAAGAACCATTAAGCCTTAAGGGTATCCTGCTCAGGTCTAAGATATAGGACAAGCATCCGGATCACCTCTAATTATATGCAAGATTTTAAAAATAACCAGGTGCTTTCTCGAGTAAGAAGAGGAAAAGGCAATGTCTTGCGAATTTCCTCAATGCTGACATTGGCATTCACAAAGTCTATAGCTAACTCATTCTTCCAATATCTATGATATTATTGAACAAATTCTAGACATACCTTTTGCAGTTGTTCCAGATGTAGAAGTGACAGCAGATGGTAACTTCTTCACCTGAACTTTTTCAGGAGTCCTGGACACTTCTGGGCTGCTTGTACTGCCGGCACCTGAGGACTGTTCAAATTTCTTCCATCTCTGAGCCACCGATTTTGGCGTTGACTCCTCAAGTTTATCATCAGCCAACTCTTTAGCGACTTGCCTTTGAACAACCTTTGGCTTTGTTTGCCGTAATCCATTAGTGTGTGCACTCTCCGCACTTGTCGAAACACTGACTTCAAACTTTTTGGCAAGGGCTGAAATGCTGCCAGTAGACTCACTAGCTTCTACATGAGAATTTTCTATGCTTTTCTTACCATCGTTTACCTTGTTCCTGGTTGCAACAACGGGTTTAGTCTTAGGCGGAGATGGTTTAGAATTGTCGTCAAAAGATCGCATGGGCTTTACTGGTTTGTTCCTATTGGCAACAGGTGGTTTCAGTGCTGGTTTATTCAGCTGTTTGGGTTTCGTAGGACTGTTAGGTAAACGGGAGGAAAGCTCTGCACTCTTCGACTTGGGTGAAGTAATACCATTCTCCGCCACGACTAGTCTGTTTGAAGAAATTTTCCTGGTCAGTGGCGGTGGTTTGAACTTGGCAATGTGGCCATGAGAAGAAACAACATGAGGTTTTTGTCCAGGCCTTTTCTTGAGGGACGGTTTCTTGGGTTTGACTTGACTGACAGGCTGAGTTGGTTGGGAGCTGCTGTCAAATTGCTTTATTCGGTCCAATATGGACAATCCCTCATTTGTGCCTTCTGCCATAGCTGCAAATTTTAAAAAAGAGAGGGGATTAGAGG